AACCCAGAGCCTCATGGTTGCCAGGCAGGTGCTGTGCTGCTGAGCTACATCCCTGGCCCTGGAATTCTTTTTTTTTTTTTTTTTTGGTACTGGGGATCGAACTTGGGTCCTTGTTCTTGCACAGCAGGCGGCGAAGCCACTGAGCCAAATCCCCAGCCCTAAGGAATTCTTTTGAATATTTTTCCAGACCATTGAAATGGATTAAAATGACTACTTAAGAGTATAAGATGACTTGACTGTATTTGAATAAATGTAGATTGTTGTACATGAAAGAATAAGACAGCCCCTGAAAATAAGACCCCTTGCATCTTTTGAAGCAAAAAATAATATCAGACCTGGTCTTATTTATCCTTACCAACACTTACTATTTACTTTACAATTTTAGCCATCCTTTTGGGAATGTAGTGATAGTTCACTGTAGTTTTAATGTTCAGTTCCTTAATGTCTAATGATGTTATTCATCTTTTCATGTCCTAATTTGGCATTCCTTTATCTTGGTTCAAGATCTGTTCAAATCTTTTGCATACTTTATTGTAGTTATCTTAATGTTAAATTCAAGGGTTCTCTCTATATATCCTCTTACAGATTTTTTCAGACATCTAGTTTGCAATATTTTTTCAGTTTTTTTCCTTTCATTTTTGTAGCAGCATTGTTTCCCCCTACCCTCTTTCTTCCTTTCTTTTGGTACCAAGGACCAAACCAAGGGCCTCATGCAAACTAGGCAAGCACTCTACTACTAAATTTTATTCCCAGCCCTTTTTATTTTATTTTGAGACAGGATCTTGCTGTTTCCCAGGCTGGTATAGAACTCGAAATCCTATGGCCTCATCCTCCCAAGTGGCTGGGATAAGGTGTGCACATCACACCTAGCCACATTGTCTTTTAAAGAACAAAAAATTCTAATTTTCATAAAATCTATTTTAACAGTTTTTTATGGCTTGTGTTTTTTTATATCTTAATTTTTTTTTTTTTTTTTTTTGCTTAGCCCTGGGTTACAAAGATTTTCTTCTAGAATTCATGAAGCTTTAGATCTTATTTAGTACTGAAATGTTTTTCTGGATGAATTGAACTCTATGATTATGAGACTTTTAAAACTTTTGTTTTTGTTCTTTTTTAAAGATTTTGTTTTATATGAATATCACCACTCATTCTCTTTTTTATTAGTATTTTCATGGTATATCTTTTTTCATCTATTTACTTTTAATCTGTTTTAGGATTTAAAGTATTTTTTTTTTTAAAAAATAGGCAGCATGTAGTAAGATACTACTTTTTATCTAATCTATCAATGTCTTTCTTTGTACTGGATAGTTTAAAAGAATTTAAACCCTTTACTTTTGGGGGGGGGGTTACAGGAATTGAACTCAGGGCCTGTGCTTTCCAGGTAAGTGCTATACTGCTGAACTACATCCCCAGACCCAAACCATTTGCTTTTCATGTGACTGTAAATGTGGTTTAAATGCTCCTTGGTCATGTTTTCTAGTTGTTTCATATATTCTTTTCTTCTGCCTTCTTCTGTTCTTTTTTTGCAGTGCTGGAAATGAGGCCAAGGGTCTTGTGCATGGTAGGCAAGCATTCTACCACTGAGCTACATCCTAACTCTGCCTTTTTTTTTTTCTGCCTTCTTTTGAGTTAAAAAAAAAATTTTTTTTTTCTTGGTTTGGCTCTGTAGTCCACGCTGGCCTTGAAGTGGCTAGATACCTCAGGCTGCCCTTCAACTTGTGAGATCTTCCTGCCTTAGCCTTTTCAGTGCTGGAATTAAAGGCATGTGCTACCACACCAGACTTGAATTAAGTCTTTTAAAAAATGATTTGACTTTATATCTAATATTGGCTTATACATAGATGTGAATGGATGAGAAATAAAGATATGAATCAACACGAGAAAATGAACAAGAACTAGAGAGAAAGAACATGGTGAGAGAAAGAAAATATTTATATTCTTTTGCACCCAAAGGTCAGGATGGCAAACCTCTAAGCTTAATGTATTCACTGTTCTGTGTTCTGGTTTTTCCTGCTACCTCTACTTAGTCACTTGATGTTTTATATCGATGATAGAGGAGTTGATTCCTTACTTGATAATTGAAATGACAGAGTAAGAAAAGTACTTCTAGGGATTATAGCAACGACATATAGAAAAACATCAAATTACTTGTAGGTTGGTAAGCTGTAAAAAGAGAATTGAGCAAATAAGTGTTTATAGTAATAGATTCACAGTACAGAGTATAAGCTTTAAATCTAACCCTTGTACATAATGATTATCCTCGAAATTATATCTGTTTTCATAGTGAGGCTAACATGACCCAAGTACGAAGAGCTGTAGTGTAGGCTAGAGTACTTTAAGTCAACAATTGACTGAATTATTTACAATGAATTTAGGTGTTCTTGGTTGAAAAGACATGTTGACAGGCCATGTTGATTGTTAAAGACTTGTGTCCAATGCAGTGTGACCAAAGTTTCAGGGTTCAGTAAACAGGAATGGGCAATAATAAAATCCTTTCATAACCACTCACACAGAAACATCCTAATTTTTTTTTACAGTGGCAAAAAGGTGAACATTGTGATTAGTTGTCTTATGTTACAAACTTTTTCCTAGTAAAACAACAACTGGGTAACGTCTAAGAAGCACCAAGAGGCACAACAAAAACACACTTTACTGCCATTTCTTCCCTTGCTGACATTAGGTTTATCACTGGAGAAAATCCACTAGTTATAATCCTCACAAGATTTACCGTTAGAAATGGCAAATGAAAAATTTATTCTCTAAAACAATGGAACATTAGTATTTTAGAACTGTACTCTAGTTGCCCCTACTGAATTTTTTTTTTTTTTTTTTGTACTGGGGATCGAACTCGGGTCCCTGAACTTGTGCAGCAAGCTGCGAAACCACTGGGCTAAATCCCCGGCCCTGCCTCTCCTGAATTTGTACTTTACAATGTTCATAACCTATCAGTTTCACGAAATCTAAATACCATTGGTTTAAAACGAACGTTGTGGGTAAGCCTGAAAGTGTAGCTCTGGCAAACAAAACGAAACAAAGCAAAAAGAGAAGCAGCGTTAGTTTCAGCGTGTCTGATGAGTTTATACAAGCAAGTCTTCTCTAAGCGGCGCTCATCCAGAGAAACTGTGCTAACGAATCTTCTGGCCACTGGTTTCCAAACTACTGCTATTCTCAGCGCGGTCCACAGGCGCGGATGAGAGGCGGAGGCGCATCCACACTCCGAGGCGGTTGCGTGCGCTTAAGCCTTCCCGCTCTTACCCGTCCCGCTAAGACTTTAACTGCCGTCTGATTTCCAAATCCCGCTTCCTGCTCTGTCTGGTGCCCCCTGCTGCTCATCACCTGTGCAATCCCGCGTACTGTTGTAGCAAACTGCTAAGGGAGCCAGGGAGCACAACGATGATTTGAAGCCAAGTATTTCCCGCACTGTGAATTGTATGGATCCAGATTTCCTGGGTCCAGCGCCTTGGTATTAATTATATACGTACATTCATGCAGCTCCAGAGAAAGAAGGGGTGTTTTTTTGTTTGTTTGTTTACTAAGCTCCTAAGCAAAAGAAAGATGGAAAATAAGTTTTAACCAACTGCAAAGGCAGAAGTCAACTCGGCCCTCTCAAGTTTATGGTCAAAGACGCGAACATGTACTATATCTTTATCTTTTCTTGAATCCCTCTCCCCTACCCATTACTCTTTTTTTCTGGCAAAACAAGACAATCCTTGATTTCAGCAGAGGAGCCCATCTTTGCATTCAGAATTTGTCTTGAATCTGGAGCTGAAAATGTGGCCTTAATTGGTCCGCGCGCCGCGTGTGTATATGTATACGCAGGAGGGTGGTGGTGGGGTGGAAGATAATACTGCTTTAATGCTCCTACCCTAACCCATCCAATCAATATTAATCTCATGCACTATCTCCATAAAGTTTCCTAGGAGTGGATGGCTCTTCCGACTCTCAGCTCTCCCCTCCCGCTTTGCCTTCCCCTCCTCCCTCAAATCCCACTCGCTCAACACTACTGCGGCTCTCTCCATTAAAGACCAATAACAGGATCATTTTTCACTGCAAGGCAACCCTCTTGGCAGAGCATGATGGGAGTCTCTCCGCTCTCTCTCACTTCTTTTTTCTTCTTTGCTTCATTCCCTTCGTCCACAATTAATCCCTAAGAAATGATTTTCCTAGCGAGTACTGACTTCGGGAGAGGTTTGAAGGACCCACGATGACTCTCCCATCAGGCTTCCAGAAGGGGCGGTTTCCAAAGAAAACCACAGTTCCCGGGAGGCATTAAAATAAAGCCGCCGCAGGGCATCACGGAAGTTCTAGGCCTCTGTCTCCTCAGTCCTTTTCACGCCTTCCACTAGCGAACTACGAGTCCCAGGGTGCTTGGACCTAGCGCGCCTGCGCTGGAGCTGAGCGCGCGGCGGGGGTGGAGCCGCCCAAGGCGCGGGGGGCGGGGTCCGAGCGGGCTGTGTGGAGGCTTCAGACTCCGGCGCCATTTAGCGCGGAGAGTTTCCCGGGCGGGCGCGGCTCTTCTTCGTGGGCCACTCGCACCTTCATCTTCGGTGACAGAAGGCGCCTGTTGGGGGTGACTGCTCTTTTCTCCTCTCACCCCACCCCCTAGTCCTCTGGGTCTCTCCTCCTTGGTCCGGAGAGGCCGCCGAGCCGGGCCCCGCGGAGAGCGGCCCTCCCCTCCCCACCGTTCCTCCCTCCCTCAGCCCCGGCGCCGGCCCGGAGGGACGAGGTTCGCCAGGCCCGGGGCGGGCGGGAGGCCGCGGGGAAGGGGGGGCCGCTCCTCAGGCGCTGGGCTCCGCAGCTTCGGCCCCTCGTCCGGGTGATGGGCGCCCGGTGAGGCCCCTCCGCTCGCCCAGCCCCGCCGCCCGCCGCAGGATGGACGCGGACCGCGCGGCGCTGACCCCCGCGGCCACGCTCCTGAACCGCCCGCCGACCCGCCCGCCCCGCGCGCCGCAGTCGCAGCCCCGCGCCGCCCTCAGGGCGCCTTGTCAGTGCTGATCGCGGCCGCCGTCCGGTCGCCCCAGCCCCCTCCTCGCTCGGATCCGCGCGCGCTCGCTCGCTCGCCTTCCCCTGCGACCCACCATGTCTGGCGGCGCCGCCGAGAAGCAGAGCAGCACCCCGAGCTCCCTGTTCCTCTCGCCGCCAGCGCCGGTCTCCAAGAATGGCTCCAGCTCCGACTCCTCTGTGGGTGAGAAGCTGGGGTCCGCGGCGACCGACGCCGGCCCCGGCCGGACTGAGGAGTACCGACGCCGCCGGCACACCATGGACAAGGACAGCCGCGGGGCGGCCGCTGCCACCACCACCACCACCACGGAGCACCGCTTCTTCCGCCGGAGCGTCATCTGCGACTCCAACGCCACCGCGCTGGAACTGCCGGGCCTCCCTCTCTCTGTCCCTCAGCCTGGCGCCCCCGCGGCGGTTCCGCAGAGTGCTCCAGCAGAGCCCCACCGGGAGGAGACCTTGACCGCCGCCGTCGCCTCCCAGGTGGCCCAGCAGGCCCCGCCCACCGCTGCCCCTGGGGACCAAGCCGCTTCGGGTCCTGCAGCCCCGACGGTCCCCAGTAGCACCAACAAAGACCGTCCAGTTCCCCAGCCCAGCCTTGTAGGGAGCAAAGAGGAGCCGCCGCCGGCGAAAATTGGAAGTGGTAGTGGCGGCGGCGGCAGCGCCAAGGAACCGCAGGAGGAACGCGGCCAGCAACAGGATGATATCGAAGAGCTGGAGACCAAGGCCGTGGGGATGTCCAACGATGGCCGCTTTCTCAAGTTTGACATCGAAATCGGCAGAGGCTCCTTTAAGACGGTCTACAAAGGTCTGGATACCGAAACCACGGTGGAAGTCGCCTGGTGTGAGCTGCAGGTAAAAGCCCCACCCACTTTCTTTTCTGGTCGTTTGGATCCCGAATTTGGCTCGGTTAGGTCAGTTTATCGAGCTTACCCTCACACATAATTCTCAAACTGTTTGAGTCGGAGAAGTGGCCAATTTTGGAGAGAGGTTGGAATTGAGAGAATGTGGAGCGTGTACTTAGGTGTTTGGAAAAGATAAAAATTGCTGGTATCCAAAGGATTTGCTGCTAGGTAGTGGATGAAAGTCATCTTAGTACAAACATATGGTCTCTTGTTACTGATTTAGTGTCTGGCAGGAAACTTGGAATTAGTCGGGAAGTTTCTGAGGAAAGTACAGAGTCTCCTTGCCCTGTGCTTTTCAGTCTCATCAGCGCCTCTGTAGTGACAAACTCTCTGTGTTAGAAGCCTGTTTCCGTCCATGAAGTCAGGCTGTTCTTTTAAAATAACAATTTTGGGTACATCTACTTGATGGCTGCACAGATATTTAGTATAGTAAATATAAAAAAGACTCTTCTCTGCCCCCTTTGCCTGGGGACTAGTAAGGTACGGTACGTGTTTGCTGTTGTTCTGCTTAATGCTGCTTAACCCATATGGTAACTACCAGTGATCAGACTTTCTTCGTTAAAACAAATGTCTTCACCCCATTCACTCTACAGTGAATAGTACAAGAGCCCATGCAAAATTATTGTAAGCGCTTTGAGAATTACAATGTTACCATCATTGTAGTCTTATCATCTTGTAGTTCTTTTGTTTTCGTGGTGTTGAGGATTAAACCGAGGGGCACTCTACCGCTGAACTACAACCCAAACCGTTTTTTAAATTTTGAGGTAAGATTTGGTTAAATGCCCAGGTTGGCCTCAAACTTTCGATCCTCCTTCCTGAGCCCCTGAGAAGCAGGGATTGCAGGTGTGCGCCACCATGCCTGCCTTGTAAAAGATTTTTAAACTAAACCTTACCAAGAGTCCAAAGGAGTCACAGTGCTTTCTCTTTTAGATGGATTAGGGAGGTTTTCATGTTATAAATAATGGCATGTCATTCTGTTGGATAAATATAGTCTATGTTTAAAAGCTTAAGTTTGGACTACTTGTTGCTGGACCTCCTTTGCAGCTTGCTTGACTTGCCTCACCAGGAAGTGAACATTTGTTGCTGGAAGCAGAATTTCACTGAAGGAAAAATATCAGCTATGTTATACATGAAAAATGCCATTATCAATACTCTTCTTGATAAGAAAATGGACCAAGCTAAATAGGATAGGAAATTAGGTGAATGATCTTGAATCTTACTTTATCCATGACTAATATGTGGGACACAACCCTTTGAATGCCAGCTTCCAGATAACCAAGGCCATATCAGATGTAAAAGGAAGTTAACATAGCATGTGGAAGTAAACTTAAATGCCAACAAGTTCTTTGGAACATAATTTCTTATGTTCTGTACTTCATATGGAACTTGTAAGGCAACGTGAAGTATAAACTACTCATTTTATAGTGGTTTTAAGTTTAGAGTGGCTTAGTGTTAGAAAGGTGACTTTGTTTTTTAATTGTCAAACCGTAACTACTTCTATTGGTAAGCTGTACTTAAAAAGTCATACTCAGACCAAAATATCTGATTTTTTTGGGTGTACAGGTGAAAATTTACAGGCAAACACATTTTTTAAAGTACCAAGTTTGCCTGTTGAAGTCTTTTTTGTTAAAGTTTCAATAGGTGCTTCTTAATTATTTTTTTCTTATTTTTTTTAACATTGGACCCAATTAAGTGTTGAGCATTTTATGGATTAATTTTGTTTCAATTATTTCACTTTTTATCCTTCTCAGAATGTGATTTGTGTTTTTTCCTTTTATCGCCTGGAATTTTCTGATGGCTTATTATGAAACCGGTAATACAGTGCAGAAAACTCAATTTGTCACAATAAAAACTTTGTCTAAGCGTCTCAGCTTTTCTTAGAACTCTGTCTAGGCATGAGCATGAACAACTAAGGAAAACCTTACATCACTTGTAAGCCAGCTCAAGATTTGGCTGCAGAACCAAATGAATCCTAGTTTACTGAGTGGTACTCTGGCATAGAAACTTGCCTGTCATCTGTCCATGCTTCTACAATTTTTCATTTTGGTTTTAAAAAGAGCGATTGTCCTTTCCCGGGGATTGGCTAGTATTTTTGTTTTTTGGCCAGGATGTTTGGAGTAGATACCTAATAAAATACCGGTAGGTCAGTTTTTGAACTTTTGTCTTCAGATATAAATTAAAGGACAAGCCGGAGCATTACTAAAGCATTGAGAAGAAAAGAAAACCTTTTCGCTAAATGTATACTTTTAATAAACATATTTTTCTGTAGCATGACAGTAGAAATATTGTGTTCAGTTGTATAGTTAAAAATTTTAGTTTATTAAAACTGGAAAAAAATCTCAAGCCATCCTGACTACTGACTTGTTTGATAAATGAGGAACCTGAAATTAAGTAACTTGTTTAGATTGATGAAGACCAAAAATTAAACTGGTTAGGATCTAATAATAACTTGGAGGGTGAGTTGGTAATCCATTAGATGGTTAATTACTAATTTAAATGAAGCAGTGCTATTTTGGTGTGGAAGTACCTGTCAGATTTCTGGAGAAACCTAGTCTGTAATGGCACCTTTAAAGTCTCTAAGGATAGCACATTTCAGGCCTCTATTTTGGGTACTGATTTTATCACTTCAGATCCAGTTATAAATAGACTGGGGAATGAGTGAGAGTGGTAGACACAAACAGCTTCTTTCTATTTGTTCTTTGGGACAGGATCTCTCTGTAGTTTGGGCCGCCCTTGAACTCACTATGTAGTCTAAACTGGCCTGAAACAGCAATCCTCCTGCCTCAGCCTGCCAAGTGCTGGGATTATAGGCGTGCTACCATGCCCAGCTCAAATCAAACTACTTTCTGTAAGGTTTATTTTAAGTCACAGTATACATAGCAATCTAGTAAAACAATCATCAGTTAATAACTAATACTAGGTAATACTTTTTTTTTTGTACCGGGGATCAAACTCAGATCCTTGCACTTGCGAGGCAGGTGAAACTAGGTAGTACTTTGATACCAGGGTCTTCAGTAATAATTGAGATGCTTTTAAGTAAGACACTGATTTCTTTCAGTGATTTGTTAGACAAGTATTGTGCCTAGTACTCAGTTGCTTTGGTCAGAAAATATTATTGCTGGGCTCTGCCTTTAGAGTTTACAGGGATCTTGTTTTTTAAGAAACATAGCACTATTTTCTTTTAAAAAAATTTATATACAGCTTTAGTAATGATTTATTTACTTTAAATACATCCTCTCCAGGCGGCTGCTAAAGTGAGAATTCATTAGTTGAATTACATACTGATGAGATTGTTTCCAGATATACGTGAAAGGGGGGAGCAAACCCTAATTTTCCAATCTATTCAGTGCTTCTGTCTCTCGCTTTTACTAAGTTTAAGCTTGTGTCTCTTGAATAAATGGTATTAATGTTTCATGAAGAGTTTAGCAGGGCTACAGAAATGGGATGTGGTTCTGAGACTCAGAAACTATAATTTCTTTGCTATAGTTTTTAAAATAACTCATTGAACTGAATCTCCCCATTTGAGTATTAAGGATTTCCCCCTTTACTTTTTATGTTTGTGCTATGTTCCTTATTTTTTAGGATAAGAATTATTAACTATCTATATTAACTTTCAGCCCCAGGAACTAGATTTTAGTGAGTAGCCTTTGGAGTTTGTTTTTAAATTCTTAGAGTCATTAATTAGGAATATAGGCATACCTTTGCCTTTTACATCAGGGGTAGCCACTTTGTAAATTAAGGAATGATTGGTAATTTGTTCAAAATAATTTTTTGTCCTTTTAAACAGGATAGAATGCAATAGGAGACAAGATGATTTTGTTTAGATAAGATTGTATTTAAAATATATGTAGATTTGTTGCTGTAGGAAAGACCTTGTACAGGAATTGAAAATTACATTTCATTTCTGTTCTTTTTCTTTTTGTGCTGCAGTACAGGGGATTGAATCCAGGACCTTCACACTAAGCTACATCTCTATCCCTCTTTAAATTTTGAGGAAGGATCTCCCTAAGTCTCTAACCTTCCCAAACTGGGCTTGAACTCGTGATCCTCTTGTCTCAGCCTCCCAGAGTGCTGTAATATAGCTGTGTGCCCCCATCCCCAGTTTAGGTTGAATACTTTAAAATTATGTCATTTCTTACTTAGGAGTTTAAATGTTTTCATTTTTTTCTTATTTACCTTTTTTCTGACTCAAAGTAATACAGTTGTTCCTAGTCTAACAACTTGGAATGAGAGATTGTTTTGTATAAAATAAATTGGGAATATAATACTTCCTGGTGACTGAGTTATTTTTTGACATTAAAATTCAAGTGCAGGAATCTGGTCACTTGAAATTTATTCTAGTTTATCCCTGTGGAAACAGTCAACTAAAACTGGGCTCTCATTATCATAAATCACCCTATACTTGTTACTTAGGTTTTCTAGTAGCTTTTAATTTTTAAAAATAAAACCATAAAAGCAAGAGTAGTTATGTTCAAATTATAATTTCTGAAAATGCTAATGTATGTGAACTAATTCAGATATTATAATTAGTAGGTCTTTACTATACCAGTACTTTAAATTACATTGACAGTGTTGAGGGGGCTAATATTTTAACCAGCTCCCTCTTTTTTTTTTTTTGGTACCCGGGATTGAACTCGGGTCCTTGCGCTTGCAAGGCAGATGATGGAACCACTGAGCTAAATGCCCAGCCCTAAATTACATTGACATATTTTCATTACCTTGCATTTTATTTGAGGTCTTACTGTTTGTTTTAGCATAGAACAGATCTGGTTATTGGGAATAAGTGAGACTTAGTGTGACCTCAGTTTAGGTTTGAAGAGGTCACTTTTCTCCAGTATAACATAGTGGATAAGGTACAGGACTAGGTATGGCTCTGTGATGGAGTGCTTGCCTAAGATGAGCAAGTCCCTGGATTCAGTCTCCAGCACCCCACTCTCTGAAACAAACAAA